CTCGTTAAGCAGATTGTGAAAAGCTTTTGGCACAGAAATAAAGTGATACCTGAGCATATTCTGGACTTCAGTAGTGCCTTTCATCCCAGAAGCTCAAAGTTATGAAGCAACACGCCTGTGAGTTTGTCCCTGTCATTATTTCCCATTTTAAATATGGGAAACAGAAGTATGGAGAGGTTAAATATCCTGCCCAAAGGTGGAAGGCAGCCTGTAACAGAACTAAAAATAAAAGGCTTTTCTACCTATCCCATCTGTTTGTCAAAATTTCACATCTCTCACATCTAACTAATTTAATATTGTCTTTTAAAAGAAAATCTTTGTCATCACCTTTGTACTTCCCAGGTCAGGCCTAGGATCCCAGAGTGGATTGTTGTTTGGCACTGAGTTTATTGGCACATAATTGCTGTGCTGTATTGCTCACCAGCAGATATCCCCTGTCTGGCGTATTGTCTTCCTGAACGTTTTCAGTAATTCAAACAGAATCTTGAATTCAGGTTTTTACGAGGGGTAGTGAAATCATTTTAAGGGGTTATCTAGGGCTTTACTTCTGTGCCAGACATCCCCAAAAGCTGGGCTCAAGGGAATATGCGGCAAAAATCTGCTTAACCCAGTTGCAATTTCTTTTTGCTTTGCAGTTTACCTGGAAACAATGCCAAGAGAAAAGAAGACAGTGTGTGTGCAAGTTGGATTCCTGCTAGTGTAAGATAGTGCAAAGGCTGTACCTCATGGTACTCGGGGAACAGTCAGACAGGCTGTGTTTACGCCCTGGTTGCTTTGCCATTGTGTTATGGGAAGTAAATGCTGTTTCTTCTCCTTATTTGGGTCTGCAAGGGAGCCTTCTGGATTAGGATTTCACTGCAGGACACAGACTGAATTGGTGATTTTCTCTAGGCTGGGGTTCCTTCCCAGCCAAAGCTGTCCCTCTAATAACAAGCCAATCCCTTTTCTCTCAACAGAACCTGCTAGACGAGCGCAAAATTCCCATTTCAGTAACCCAGGTTTCTTTTTTAATTGCTTACAGACAAAAAGGCCCAGGAGGATGCTGCTTTAGTGCTTACATTCCAGGGTTTTCCACAAAATAGCTGTATATTTAATAACATTTTCAAAAATACTTTGAATTTTCCTTTAGTAAGGCAGTAACAGCTTATAGCAGGGAGCCAAATTGCTAGTGAGGAAATGCACATTAAACGAACATTTCAATGTTATTAAAAATAATGTGCAGCCTTTGAAAAATGCAGGCCTAATACGATTTTGGAAAATAAATGAGGAGCTCCGATAAATTTATAGCCATTGGATGCCTCCAAGTAATGATTGTTGCTGACATTTTCATGCTTTATTTTTAATTGCTGCAGCTAATAATGCTAATGAGGTAAGAATGACAATGGCTTAGGCATACCAGTGGCAATAGTGAAGAGGAGAGCGTTGAGTTGGCAGCAACCTTGTTGAGCTCGCATTTCCCAGATGTGGAGCCGAGGGTCTCCAAGCCTCAGAGTTCCTCCTCCCTACGCGGCCACAGGGAACGTGATGCAGAAGGGACCTTTGGGAATGACAAACCACCACCAGGAGTAGTAGCCAGGGAAAAGCCACCCTTGTCTGACCCTTGGAGATGGGTGCTGCCGTTCGGCTCCGGTGCACCCAATGTTAGAGCAACTGCTTGGGACCGTACCAGGAGGGAAAGCAGCTTCCACTTTAATCCTTGATGCAGAATTAACCCAAAGCAGATTGTTCTCATGAAAGGTAGTGCGGACTTGTGCTTTGATTTAGGGGGCCTGCTGCTGGATTTATTTGGTGTGTGAGTAATTAGAACCTTTAGACTTGCTGATTCAGCCCTAGTTATGATCCTGATTTGATCACTGTATTGTTCCATTCCTAATCCTTTAGTGAGGTTAGAGCAGGTTAATCTTAGAGAAATGTTTGCTTAATTCTATCCTCGCTCATTTGTTCTCTTAATAAAATCTCCATAAAGAATGGAGAAATAGTAATTCTTTCAGCTTGTTCCAATTACTTTGAGAGCAAAGCTAATTCAGCTGAAGCAGCCTAAGAGCAACTTGATTGTGTTTCTACAGTTGAGGCTCTGTGCCAAGAGAAGATGTGGCACCCTCTCTGCTCCAGAGCAGTGTCAATACATTCCTCTGGTTAAAATCCAGAACATGCCCATGTCTGGCTTTTGGATGTTGTATGACTTTCTCTCTGGTCTCATGCCTTGCTGCCCACTCCTGCCAGGCTCAGTGTTTCTGCCTCTTTTGCTCCTCTTCTGGACTGCTGTTACTTCCATGGCCCGTTAGCAAAGCAGAAGAAATTGAACGGAGTGTATGGGTGTTCACGACATCCATCCTGAGAAGCAAAAGGCTTTTTCTGTTGGCTCTGCCTCATCAGAAGGGCTTTTTCCATTGACTCTGTCTCATCAGACAGGACTCATGGTTGAATGCCCCTTTGACGTGACCCACTGTGGTGCAGTGGCGTGGGAGAGTTACTTTGGGGTGACTGGTTTTACCAGAGGCTGTTTCACAGCTGACACATCTTTAGCACACGGAGGGAACACCAGCTGCCAACCTCCGTGCAAGCACAAGCCCAGCCTCCCCCCTTAGCAGGTATGGGTGCTAGGCAGGGGGTGGGTGGGCAGCAGACTAAAGCTCTGTGCTATGCTAGATATCCAGCAAGTCTGGAGGAGCGTGAATGTTGTGGGCAGGAGGGGTGTCTTCATCCCCCTGAGCCACTGACCTTGCTCCATAGCAGCACGGAGGGGTGAGGAACTGGAAAAGTGGAAGAAGAGACTATGGGAAAAGAAACACAGCTAGGGGATCTGAAGCGATCTCAGACCAGACTCGCATATGCAGGAAGCTCTAGCAATGGCTCTGGGACATATTCCAGTTTTCCTGAAAGCTTTTCTCTTTCGCACTCGCTCGGTCTGCATGAGATGACCCCATCCGTGAATGTATTGAGAAAGTTACGCTTAGGCATCTTCCTCTGGAGTATAAATACTAAATAACATGGCATCCATAAGGGATACATGACTTCTCAGAGGAGTACAATAGATGGATGTGTTGCCAAAAGGGAGGGGAAAAGGCAAGAAAATGTATCTAAATGGGATTGAAAGCAACTAAAATTCGAGCGGAGCAGGGGGTATCTGTGCGGACTGGAGCCCCTGGCTGTTGCAGCGAGTGCTCGGCACCCGTCAGAGTGGATGTCTGAGCAGAGGGAGAACTCGAATCGCTCTCACTCTCTGCTACATGCAGCCTCTCAGTAGAAATTAAAGCTGCTTTAATTTTACGACACCTTGAGGGGCCAAATCCAATCTGAGCATTATTACAGTGTTGGGACAACTCTGCCACAGAAGCTCCCTTTTTCTCTTTTTTTTTCCAGCCACGCTTCCAAACCTCACCCGAGGGAAAGCTGCGGAGCCTGAGCTTGCGCTGGTTTCATTGCGCTGGGTGGGGATTCGCGCTGGTACCTCAGAGGGATGCTCACAGATGGGTGAGATGGCTCTTTGGCTGGAAGAGGAGGCCTGGCCGAGGTGGACTAACAAAGTAATAAGAGCCTCAAAATAGGCAAGACGACAGCAAGGAAAGGTTCAAAGAAGCATGACGAGCTGTAGCTTCTGAACAACAGGGCGCTCCCGCCGCAGTGAGCAGAAAACAATACCATATTGGCCACAGCACTTTGCTGCCAGGAATGTGGCTTTACAGACCATGGGAGAAATCTCTCAAACGTGCTCCAACTTCTGTGCTTGTTTGGTGAGCCAAGTCACAAGTCTCTTCCTCGCTTTTGACTTATACCGTGCCCAAAAGCATTACAGAAGAGTGAAAAAAAGATTTAAGCCCTCAGAAGAGAGGGCAGAAAAGTATTAAACAGGATTTTGTTTTGGGGGGCAAGGAATCATTCTCCTCCAGCTTTGTGGATAGTGGATGCACTTAAAGGGAAAATAGGAGAAAGTACGTATGACTGGGTCCTTCCCTAAAAAGACAAGACCTGTTTGTGCCATACCCCTGCTCCACTTGCTTTACCCTTATGCCTTCCTTGCCTCCACACAAACACAAAGACGACTGAAAGGAGGATAGTCGGAAAGAGCTCCAAAGGGTGGTTTGATTTCGGCACTAAGTCTCCCCTTGATGGCTCACGGTGGCACTGGATTGCCAATAGATTATAGGGTTGCAGCTATTTTCTGCGCAGGAGAACACACAAAGGAACCCCCACCAGCCCTAGCAGTGCTCTCCATCAAATAAAACCCCTTTAGCTTCCTGTCGCAGAGCTCTCTCTAGGATTCATGTATATTTTATCAAAGTTACATGCAGTTCTGATACTTGTTTCTAAAGTGCTGTAGTATGAATCCCAAGATGTACTGAAATGCTGCAGTGGCCCTTTTTAAAAAAATCAAGGTTAGACTAGAGAAAAAACGAACTGGCTTGACTCCATAGCATGTAATAAGAGCAAATTCTGCTCAACAGGCTTCTATTGATATAAATAAGCAGAAGAAACACAACCATACATCTATATGAAATAATTTCGCTCCTTGTAATTGTACCCTGGGAGCAGCAGGAACAAAGAGGAGCTCCACAGTTTCACCTGTCATAAATGAAGGTCCTGCAATGATCTAAAGCTATTTTTTTGCCAGAAATGCTTTTACAAGCCAACACACAACACAGAAGAGCTATGCCCTCAGTGGTAACCAATTACTGTGAAGATAGTTAATAACAATCTGGACTAAGGAAAAAAAAAAAAAAAGCTTGTATTAACCAATTGGGATTTTTGCTTTTTTTATCTATGTCTTAAGCTAAGCTGTGAGGAAAAAAAATTTCAGAAGAAAAGAGTGTGTATTTTTTAAGCTGCATTTCACAACTCCTTTGTCTTTCAGGCATTTGCAAATTTTAGATCAAGAAGGATGGACAGAAAGCATGCTCTGGCTACAGTATAATAAGGCATTTAGGTTGAAGTCAGCAAGAGCCAGCATAGTGGAGGGGTGATTTAAAAAACCAAGAATTCATTTTGTATGTAATAAAGCTTTAGTACTTACAGCTGTCCTCTTCTTCAGTAATACATTTCACAACATAACAGGCATAGATGAAGCCCGCCAGCTGAAACAAAAGGTAATAGCGTTAAATGTAAAGCAAATGCAATAGAAAAGCAAGAGTTGGTTCTAGAAAAGCAACAACAGAAACAGAAATAACAAAATTCGCCAGACTCTGTCTGATGAGGTAATGATAATTCTTCACAACAGTTTGGTAATTTTAATTGGAAATAGCCAGGGGAATTTTGCATCTTTCTTGTAAAACAGACCCTTCAATAAAACTTCCAAAAATTGATCAAAAATTTTCCGTTACCCAGTTGGGTTCTTTTTAATTATTGAAAACCAGAAAACCAAATGGGTGGTTGGATGGATGGACTTTTAGCCACTGAAAATGTAAATATTTCTGTCAAAATCAGATTTCTCATCCAACAAAACCCAACCCTCTAGCAGAACTCTGTTTTTAGCAGAACCTTGCCACCTAAACCGAAGTGGAATTCAGTGCACTTGTAAACCCACTTTATAGTGATACTTTATCATTTGAGATTAGTGCTGTGGATTAGTGGGACTGGTTCCCATATCTGTGATAACCCCCAAGCCTCAAGACATATCTAGCACTTTGGATGGGTCTGGATGTATTCACATCCGCATCGCGTGCCGCAGCTGGCAAATTCATATCTTGTTCCCTCCACTCCTCTCCTCAGAGCATGCCCAGAAGTGAATTGTAAACAGAAGCAACAAGATTTAAAGAAAATGAAAATCTGGAGTGTTCCTCGAGTACCATGGCAAATTGCTTATCTTACACTATCACCTGAAAAAATAAAAAAAAGGGAATAAATGGCCAATATCACACATGCCATGGGCCAAGTATCATGTGAGTCCTCTGCTAGTGCCTCCACCGAGTTCTATCATCACTGAGAAGTTACACCAGAAGCAACAGAACAAATACTGGAGCAGCAGGCACGTGCCACGTGTTGCATGCTTTACACGGTTTCCCTTACATGTAGGTCCGGAGAGTTTTCTCCGCTGATTGCCAACAACCTGTTTTTCATCCTTTAGCTCACCACTGAAATTTGCATGGTAGGATGTCAAAAGAATTCCGGTTGTTTGATCTCTTTGTAGTGAAAAGTGAGCTGTGCTGTCGAAATGTGTTATTCTGTACAGGTCACCTCACAGAGATCTTTTCATAAGCTGCAAACCCAACTGTAGACTTTGGGAATTAGTTCTTTATATGGATAAGAAAAATGCCTAAAGGCTCCAGCCAGGACTGAGCTCTCTGTGTGCGTGGCACAAAACCCATAATCTCCGGCTGAGGGAGATGATGATCTTAATTTCAGACAAAGTAATCAGTGGGTCAGACAGTAAAAAGGGTGAAATCTGGGAGAAGACCATGTACTGTTATGAATGCTGGTTAGTGCAAATGGATTTTTTTTTTTCATTAATCCAAGGCACACCTACAATCACTGCAATATTGTGGGTTCTTAAAACCCTTAATATTACCTGTATACATGGAAATGCAAACAGATCCATTCTGTTTCCTAGTGCCCCTATACCTGAGGCAGTGACCGTGCCTAATTTACTCCAGCTCTTACACAGATATTCCTGGTATTTCTGTCCGTTTTCTATGTAGGAAGCTCTCCATACCTATGAGTCCTTGCTTCTAATATCTGTACAGGTGAGAGATGGCTATAGGGGAAAAAAAAAGCCAGCCCCAAGGCTTTTCTGAAGAGATTAAGACTTGATTTGGAGATCACGCTGCAGCCAGCATAGATGTTGTCTGCTAACTGCTAAAGTTCCTGTTGGGAGCCCAGAAACTGCATTACAACAGAACTATATCATTAATTTTGTCATTTATTATAAATCTGCCTTATAGTGCTGCTGGGAAGATTTTACACCTGGGAAGGATGAAATATTCACCGCTGGACACAAAGAACGCACTGTACCAAGAACAGTGGCATTCAGCTAATATCAGCATTTCATCTCCGTTTTATTGGATCACTCTTTCCTTTGGTTTCTTGGCTTCAAGACAGAGGGCTAATTTGCTCCACTGACTTATGCCCTGCATAACCCCATTGACTTCAATGACATTACATGAGGTTTAATTCAGCAATGAATTAGGCCCAGAAAGGTTGTTCATAAATGATTCCATTCTTGGATGTGAACCTTGGCTTAATAGTTTCTCTGTTCTCTTTTTACAGACCATCAGATCCAAGATAGCTGAATAGCTGCATCTCTAGTAGGCCACAATGGTAAAGCTTTTCTTGTAATACAGTTCAATACTTTACTTTCTGCTAAACGACCACAAGTCCATGTTATTAACTAAACTTCTCTCACAAAGCGCAGCAAACAAACTGTATCACAAACTGTGCTTACAACTGATCTTTTAATTGTATTCAGTTGCATCCCCTAAATGTCTAGGGAACTTCTTTGATATATAAGTAAATCCTACAGCATTTCATCAGATGAGCTTGCTGATTAAAAGAGTGCCTTAAAGCTAGAAATTGTTCTGTTCTAAATACAAATGGAAGATTGTTTCCCACGAGACAATCAGAGGTCATAAAATAAACCTCCCCTTCTCCCACATTTATCCAACCCTTTGCTTGGTACACATAATAATTTTGTTTTAATTTGAACATCACGTTAGTGTTTTGTTGGTTTTTTTTTTCCTCTTTTTTAACCAAGCAATTTATCAGTTCTAATCCAGCGACAGCCATTCAAGATTTATCTTCTAATTGCATCATCATCAGAAGGCACACCCTCAGAGCTGAGGTTAAGAACGAAAAGTGGCAGTTTTTACTTTGAGGATGCTCGATGGCCTGAGCCCATGGGGACTACAGAAACCTCTAGGATGAAGACCAGGAACATGCTTTCTCCCCGGTGGACTAAGACTTCCTATAGGAAGGGTACAGCTCATCTGTGCACGCAGCAGAGATTTCTTGGGGACCAGTCAGCTAAAATTGTTAAGGAATTCCCACACGGATAAAGGGCTCTCACAAAATTTACCATGTTTGTTAATAGTGCAAGATGCATTTCTTTGACTCTAAGAAAAACACACTGCAATGTACCTATTTACAGCACAAAATAAAAAAAAATAAATTCCAAACAAAACACTTCACTGAACACACTCCTTCCCCTGGAGACGAAGATGAGGAAAAAAAAAACCCAACAACAAACCCAAATGATAGAGGTTAGTCACATTGCTTAATATATTCCTGGGAAGCCTTCAAACACAGCAGTGCTGAGTGCAGTATGAGAATTACACAGAGCAGAGTCTTTGTGATTCAGTATATCAGAAAGATTTTTTTCTTATGGGAGAAGGAAGGGAATGAGTCCTCAGAGATAAAGGAGCCTGACTGTCTTAGAAAATCAGTTTAAAACCAGGAAAGCTAGCTTGAAAACTCTTGTTGCTTTGCATCCCTTTATGCCTTTTTTTTTTTTTTTTTTTTTTAATTAACTGAGCTTTCTTTTATAAACCATGTAGCGATAAAAAGAAATAGGTGCAATGAACAGAAGATCAGTTCTGGATCCCAGACCCATCCAGATTAGGTGTCTGCATCTGTCCCATTCACATTTTAATGCTGTAGTACGGGCCTCCGGAGAAGGAACCATTAACAGCACTCCTGCTCATTTATACATACAGTGATTAGTGAATGCATGTTTTTATGAACCTCATTTTCTGCAGCTTGAAAAAATCTGCTCTTTACAACTTTCCCTGATATGTCCATATAAGAGTATAAATGAACACTGCTCTTTCTAAAAATGACACATTTCCCATCCCTGCACCAGCTCCCTGGGTGTTACTTTGATGGGATCGGATGACCATTTTTATATACAATGATCTCAAACACTTTAAAATTTTTTTTTAATTTTTTTTTCATCTATAAACACCTTGATGAAACTACCGTTCCTTCTGCCAAGGGAAAAACGAAGACAAGCAAAAGGCTAAAATAAATCAGGGATATAATAACACTACTGAAGGTTTGGCAATGAGATTAATTACAGAATTAAGTTAATGCATCATATTGCCTTATTATAGCCATACAAGCCAAACAACAAAGTAGACAGAATATTCCCCACCCAAGTCAGCAATGTCCTGTTATGCTGTTAGAGACTCTTAGCAGATCCTGAGTTTTCTGTGAGTGTACTTCCAGACTTGCTCAAAATGTCAAGTGCTGTGATCAAGCTTAATCAGAATCGATATTGATCAAAATCCTGTCTTGCCATTTTTCCTCACTTCTTTTATGGAGATGAATGTTTTCATACACTGCAAATAGCACCAGATTTGGGAAGAAGGCTATTATATGAAAACTCATCATTCCTGGTCAAGGCCCCCACCTTTCCCTCTTTTAAAGCAGTTCTATATAGATAATTATTAGGAGTTATCTTTATTAAGCCGGACACCTGAAACAAAAGAATGACAGCAAGGAAGAAGCAAAAACTAAAACTGGGTAAGATCTGAGCGGGATAAGGTGATGAGGAGAAGGCTCAAGATGAAGATGAATGAGTTAAGGGTTATGGAAATAGTATGTGGCCTTGGCTTCACTGAATGAGCGTGTTTTATTTTATAACTGGGCTTTGTCAGGGGAAATGGACTTCAGACTCAAAAAAACCCAAAACCATTGTGTTTTCATATGGAAAGATGTTACAGTGTCCTCTGAAACAGCTGAGGCTTATGTATTTACTTTTCATTATTAAGTTTTTGCAGGATTCTACAAACACTATGGTTTTAAAACCTTAGTAAAAAAATGGGCTAGTTTAAGCAATAATAACGCAGAAATAAATGGAGGTTAATTTTGGCCCTGGGAACTTTATATTGTAAAGCTGTGATGTTACATGGCTGCCTATGTGCAATTTAATCATATTTCTTAAGCTTACAGGGGACTGCACATATAAAGCTTTGTAATGCTGTGCATTTAAGGAACATTGTTTCCTTAAAATGGATTTTTGGAGGCTGGAGATACACACACACACATATATATATATACACACACACATTATGAGCAACTGAAGAACTGGAGAATTACTATCTAGAAAGCTTCCAGTGTATTGATTCTCAGAAAAATCATACTC